GTCTTCAGGGCACAGATCCTCCACGATAAACAAAGGACTACTGTACTAAAAAAATTAAGTAAAAGCATCAAAAGTATGTAAAAATGTACCCAGTGCCTATTGTATAGTACAGAGTAAGAAGTTGGCTCGGTCCACATATGTACAAAGTACAGTATGTACCAGGTGCGTATCCAGTCAGTATCAAGTATGTAACAACTATGTACCCAATACATGGTACGTACTGTACTTGTTAAGTCCCAAGTTCGGGTTAGGCTGTAATATTTATTGTTACTGTTTGTACTTAATTGTTTCAAATTTATTTTGTTTAATAAAATGTATTTTTCTATATGAATAATTTGACATACTACATCTGCAAATCAAATCAAATTTTATTTTAATTATTATTTATCAAAATTGGCCCCAGGCTAAGACTACATTGTTTTTTTATTGTTGGGTTTTTATTATTATTTTTGTTTTTTGGTCTTGAGTTTGACATCCCTGTTATAGGAATCAGAGCACTTTGTTTACAAAATCACAAAAATACCCCAAAATGACACTATTACATCATTTACTGTCAATACCTTCATTTGATTAGACTTGAGTCCAGGTCAAATTCTCCTCAATGCAAATATATGGAAAGTCACTCTTTATATCTGTTTTTCTGTCCCACCGTTCTCGTCCTTTAGAGTGTAACTGCAACCAGCTGGGTTCTGTTCACGACCGGTGTAACAACACGGGCTTCTGCCAGTGCAAAGACGGAGCCATGGGGGCCAAATGTGACGACTGCCTGCCAGGATTCTACTGGAAACAAGGCTGTTACTGTGAGTACAAGCAGAGTGAACTTCCCAGGCCCAGAAGAAATGTTCCAGCCTTTCCGGGACCTTTTCAAGAGCACAGTCCACTTAACTTGTGCCGCTCCTAATGTTTTCTTTACTCACAGGGGAATGGATCATGTAGCTCATTAGAGGCATCAGCTGCTCCTTAAATTAATGAACCTGTCACACCTTAACCCCATTACAAAGAATCGCTTCCCTCTGCCATCTACCATCCAGTCAGGTGCCTCCGACTCAAACAGACCCGTTCTCTCGTGCATGGACTAAAGACCAGACATGGATGAAGTCTCACTTAGGATTCATTAATAATACCCGGGGACATGGTGTAATTAATAGAAGCACCACTTGTTTAAGGTCAAACTTCAAACTCCCAACGCAACGGAGCCAATTGTCTCTGGTGTAAGAAGGAGAAAAAAAAAGTTGGAACGTGGATTTATTTCTTGTCGCAGAACATTTTTAGGTCAGGTATTTTTAAAAGTGCAATGGCTTCTGTGCTGTTAGTCATGCAGCTTTTAGCATTTCAATGACGCCTCGTGTTCCTCCGATCATTACTTAACAAATATCACACGTGCAGGAGATTTTTTTTTTTTTTTTTTGCTGGGTTTGAAAAAACAGTTTTGACTTGACCCTGGGAAAGTGCATGCTTGAGAAAAAAATGGGTGAAAAAAATACTGCTAAAACAAACAAAAAAAGGCAGGTGTTACTTTTTCTCGTCCCTGAGGACAGAAACAAGAGAGTTTGCCTCTTTTTTCACCACTTTGTTCATCCTGTCCTGGATTCCTCTCATCCGGCTACATCTCCACTTCCTTTCTTTCCTAACACTGCCCCTTCCTCGTCTCTTTGCCAAACATCTTTTTGTATTTTGTGCTTTTGTTCACTCCCACTATCCTCTCACCTCCTGTCATTTAGTCACATCGCTGAACGCTCTTGATATCAAACTTCCTCACGTTGGTTTTATTACCGTTACAAATCTGTTTCTTTTTGCTGTAATGTCAGAAAGACCAGTCAAAATAAAGTCACAGAGTGAAACTAAACCTACCCATTATTTTCATATTGATTCATGTAACTGAAATTTGTAAGCAAAATTTGTTAACGTCTATGTCCATTTGTTTAGCCACAAACAGCGAAAGTGACTGAAAGGAGGTCAACAGTGGTGACGTCTATGGGAGACACGTATGGGATTTAGTAAATTCATCATTTGTGACATGTTTATTTACCCTCAGATTTGATTAATAAAGTAGTTAATTTATCATATCAAGAGCCAGAGGTAAATTACAGTTTGAGTTATGGATGCTCTTAGCTTCAAACTAAGGTTTGACTCCTGCCAACAGGCAACCGGGCATCCAACGATATGCTGATATGTTAAAATGTATTTGGTCGATATCCTATAACGATACCGATATTTTATATACTTTCCTTTGTCAGAACATAGCCCTCTTATTTAGGCTTATTTGCTACAAAAAATGTGTAATAGCTGTAAGAGCTGGTGACATCTATTCAGTAACAGCCATATGATTTGCATAGCACTTTAACTTATATTAAATAAAAAGTGTTAAATGTTATTTATTAGCATTAGTCACCTGCGATGCTGTCTCACTTGTGGAGGCTTGTTCCAGGTTCCTAGCTGCAGTGTGGGATCCTCTGCACTCTTGTGCATGAAGAATAACCTTTTAAGATAGAAGGTTTTGTCTATCTATTGTGCCGTAAGACTAATCATGCTAACGGGGCTAACACGACGTCCACGTTTGTGGTAAAACTCACCCAAGTGCTATCGGCTATTAGCTTCTCAATGATGTCAGAAATGATGGCTTGTAACTCGGGTAAGTTTACGTCGGAAAAATATCTCTGACTGGGGACAATGTAGCAAGGCTCAACGTAGTCTAAAAATTTTCGGAATCCAACATCCTCAGCAACAACAAAAAAAAACCTCCACACCGCCGACATTTTGAATTTTCCTCTCCACCGTGAGATCAGGTAGGCGCATGTACCGTCATCACGTTGTGCTGGCACCGCAGGTGTTCTTGTCACTGGGTTGTCATACAAAAACAGTGTCTTTTATATCGGTGAGTTATTTTGATGGAATGGCCGATATTGAACTTTAACGCTAAAATCGGCCGATACCATGCTGATAATATTGTGCATCCCTAGTCTGTAGAAAATCGAACCGCAAGCGAAAAGAAAAAAGGAATCAGAGTTATGGATGAAACGGGGTTATATACCACCTGGCTGATCATCCGATGTGTGAAAAGCTGTGACTTTTTTGATATTCCTACTTGAATGGTGCATGCGCAGGGAATATGCAGTGCTTTTAGCTCTACCCTCTGGTGGTCAGTAGGGATGAAATAGAACTAGAGTTGAAAAAATGTTCAAAAGGTAAATTTACCAGTCTGGCAAAAGTTTTGCAAAAGAGATTTGAATCTCTATCAATCTCAGTGGCGCTCCACTTTGATATTTATTCTTCACAATTGTCTTTCTCATTTTCTTTTTTATTTTATTTTGCATTTAGCATCAGATTCATTCCTATATTTCCATCTAAACATCCCTGAAATTCTACTACAATTCTTCACCTACACAGAGTACAGCCAGTCGGCCACTCACGTGACTCAAGATTTCAAGTGTTTTTTGGTGAATTGAGCCAAGAGCTTTGTTTATACTGATTGCATATGCCAGAGAATTATTGGTCAAAGTTTGTGCTTCTTTTATTATTAACATTATTTCCTCTGAGAACAAACAACCAAATTGTCTCCTGAAACACTATTTTATCCTGAACTGGAGAGATGCCCGTGCTGTAAAGGACAAGAATGCCATACAGCTGGCTTTGAGGACACCCACTAAACCAGTGGTTCCCAAACGTGGTACTTGAGGAATGCCATTCTGTATGCTTTAGTTGTTTCCCTGCTCCAACACACCTGATTTAGTGGTTTTATTATTTCTTCAAGTTCTTCCAAAGCCTGTTATGCACCCATTCATTCAAATCAGGTGTGTCAATGCAGGGAAACAGCTAAAACATGCAAGATGGTGTTCCTCAAGGACCAGGGTTGAGGACCACTGCACTAAACTACAATAAACTCTTCTGAACTGATAAGGGTATAAAAGTGAGTGCATAACGCAGCTTATGGCTTTTGTCTGTGACTGGTTTATATGCGTATACATCTTTGTATGGGATATATATATGTATATTTATGTATATTTATGTAACCTCCTGAAAATCTGACCTTGCAAGTATAAATACCAGTTAAAGATCTTCTTCTTAAATGTGGTTCTTTTGGGAAACCAACATTAGTGAGAGAGATTTTCTCCAACAGTGTACCTGCATTTCTGAGTTGTATACCAACATATCTGATTAAAATCTTACATAATTCATGATAACATGTTTGATGTTTAATTTTATAGTTTGTTATTGAATCTGCCCTTTTGTCTCCACTCATAGCTAATGTGTGTGATGAGGAGATGCTCCTGTGCCAGAATGGAGGGACGTGCTACCTGAACCAGAAGTGCATCTGTCCTCCTGAGTTTAAAGGGGTGCTGTGTCAACACTCGCGCTGCGAGGCGGGGAAGGACTGCAACGGCGCCTCCTCGCCGCACCTCTCCGTGGCCACCCTGCTGCTCTGCACCCTGCTGACCTACTCGCTGGCCACATTAACACACCACTGAGCCGCGAAAAAGCTCAGCTCAAATCGAGGAGTGTGTGTTGGGGGGACAAGATGGGGACAAACAGACAAGTTGTGGACCCCAAACCAAAAATAAAAGGCACTCAATTAAGCGCACGCTCTCACCGAACACTACCTAAGCCCTTGCAAACACAGACGCACACACCTCACAGGACTGTTAAGACACCAAGCGTGTGCTCAGGTGTGAGAACAAACACATCAGAGACAAGAGATGCAGTTAAAGGGGAAGGAAATCCTACCAACCACTGTTCCCTTTACTTTTCAGCTGGAGCAATGTGCATCAAACCAAAAAGCATAAAAGAACACTTAAATCACCACTGTTTCACTTCAGAGGGAATGGCTGTTGTAACCACACGGACCTTTTGTTCTTCTTTATGGTTGAGTTAAAGATCTCTCCTGTGTTAGACTGACAGCTAACGTGTGTGTGAGTGTGTGGTCCGACTCAGTGAGGGTGAAACATGTCGGCTTGACGGACGGGTCAAAAGGAGCTCGTTTAATTCTGCTGCCTCGGCCTGCACAATATAATAGCCAGGTTTCATTTCTTCTCAACAGATGAGACTTGATTTCACATTTATTCTATTTCTGCTGCATTTTATTTGAAAAAAGAAAAAGATTATATCTTCAGTCATTTTATCTAAACGTGCCCACTAGTAGTCGCTGAGATTATACATACTATATAATATCCAGGGGGTTATGAATTATATTTAAAAAATAATAGTCACTGTTATGGTTGTTATAGGAATGAGTGATTGTTGCCATACTTAACGAGATTTAATCCTCACACACTTATTCAGGAAGCAGAGTTTAAGAGGTTTCAGCTAATCAGAAGTCTAAAGAAGAGAGAAAAGATGTGAATCACGTATCGAGACTATATGACATTATTTGAATATTTTTTGTAGAAATTATTTTTGTTTTGAAGTTACAATAAATTGTACAAAAAAATAACTATGAAATGACATTCACAACTATTTCAAATGCTCATTTTATTACACTTGATTGTAAAGCTTACAGTAAATATGACTGTTATTTGCCTTCTTGGTTGTTTTTTATGTGTTTTTTTTTTGGGGTTTTTTTGTTTTGTTTTTGTTTTTGGTTATTCACTTTTATCATGTTATTCCTGCTTGTTTTAAAAGTTAGAAAGAAAATAAGTTTGGACTAAAGAAAGATGCTTTAACTCCTTCATGTGATTGTCACTTTGTACGAAGCTTCAGATTATTTTATTTTTTAACTCAGCAGTCATTAAGAGCTGCTGGGCTGATGAGATAATGAATTATTTCAGTTTCACAAAAGAAAGAAAGAGCTTTTATGGAAAAACTGGATACATAAAGACATTTTCCACAACGTGAGCAACAAAGACACATACACAACAATCTTATGACACGACACACTAAGTCCAGTCTTGTGAGACTGTCTCAGACATGTGAGTGTAAAAATGCCCTTTGAGATTTTTTTTTTTCCTCAAAACTACGACATAATTTAACAGAAAACCATTTATTTTCTGCTGAGTCAGCTTCAGCGCACTGAGAATAAAAAGACAAATGCTGCATTAAATCAGGATACAGAGAACAGAGAAGATAAAAGCTGGACTAAAACTGAGAGGAGTGAAATGATCCTCCTCTGTCTGAGCTGCTGCATTACCTATTCTATGTGAAGAGCTCATCCACTTGGCCTGGATGGTTTCAAGAACTGGGAAGGAACAGCTTACGAAGGGAAACCACTTACGCCCACGATTTCTTGTGCTTTCAAAGAGCAGGTAACTCTTGAAGTCTCAAGAACAACTGAGACCTTTCACAAATATAAAAATATGAGCTAGAAGAAGTTTTTTTTTTTTAATCAGATATTCAAAACACTGTTCAAATAAAGAGCATGGCCCAAGGTTAAAATAAATAAATCCATCAGATCTGAACCTTTGCAAAAGAAGGTGTGTGTCAGAAAGTGTGCTGCCTAAAAAAAGGTGTGCTGGTGCAGATTGCCCATATTTAAAAATGTTTAAAAGTAAAGCACTTAACAGCTAAAAGTTAACAAACAAAACTTAACGTCATTATTTTACAGGATGATCATAACTCTTTATACCCACAACGAAATGTATTCATGTGTAGCTGCAGAAAATACAGAAGCAGGTGTGACTCTTCCTGTGGTTAAAGGGTGCACAACCTGCAACCCAAGAAAGAAATCAAGATTCTATCCATCCATGATCTTCACCCACTTCTTCCTTTTCAGGTCAGGGGGGTCACTGGTGCCCATCAATGTGCGAGAGGCCGGGGACACCCTGGACAGGTCTCCAGTCCATCACAGAGTCATAAAGAGACAAACAACCATTCACTCTCTCACGTGGGACAATTTAGAGTCACCAATCAGCCTAACATGCATGTTTTTGGTCTGTGGGAGGAAACCGGAGTACCCGAAGAAAACCCACGCATGCAGTGAGAGAACATGCAAACTCTACCCAGAAAGGTCCGTGTCCAGGATTTGATCCAGCGACATTCTTGCTTAGAGCGGCAGCTCTACCAACTGAGCCACCGTACTTCCATGTGTTTAAAATTAGAAGGCAAATTCTTGTTTTAAGCGCAAAATGTTCCTCACTGACTTTCATGAATTTTTAAGGATTCACTCTTTATTTCATTAAGACCTCAAGCTCAGTGTAAGAAAAAAACATTTTTACTTTTGTCTCTTTTATTTTTGTACCTGCTGTGCTTGGGGGCGATGGTAATATTTGCTTTGTGCAATATAAAACCCATCATTTAGCTAAACAAAGGGAGCAAATAGAGTACACCTGCTAAACTTGAAGAACATATATGTTAAATTTGCATAAATATGATTAGCACAGGTTTGCTTTATGATTGGAATCATGTATGGAGAAGAAAGCAGATGCAGTGAATGTGGCAAGTCCTATTGGAGATCAATCATTCATGTATTAAAGATTGGATTTTTATTTACCCAAAATTTCAAAATACGTCCAAAAAAAAAAAATCCTTCCTAGAAAGTGGTTAAATGAATATAACTGCAAATAACCACAGCAAAGAACCAACAACATAACACAATGTCATATTAACGTTTACAGAGATGGCTGAATAAAATAACAACAATTAACCGCAGTAATGACTAAGAATAAAACAGAGTGAACATAAAATCCGACTCGATGACTGCAGAATAAGTCTCACAGAGGTGGAAACTCTTCTATAGTCACAAAGCTTGTAGAAACATTTATTACAGGGCATCATATTTTATCAGAGCTGTATGACCTGGCAACATAATGCAATCAAATACATATTCTAGTAAAGACGCATCACAATTTTTTTTCTTGCACTGAGCTGCCTTTGAGATTCAATAGCCTTCATTCTTTGACCATGTCTTTTCCTCCACCAGGAAGTAGCTGACACCCCACCAGGATTACTCATGAAAAGAAATGCATCTTAAAGCTGCACAATCTGCTCCATAATAGCATTGTAAGGCTGAAAATGAAATTAGCTTAATAAATCACCAAATTAAAATTAACTTTTAATGGTTAAGTGGAAGTTAGATTTAATTTTAAAGGCTAATGAGATGGGAGTGAGCTGCAATGCTTTCAGCAGTGTTTTGCCAACACAGTTTAAAGCCTTAAAACATTTTTTTTTCCTCATATTTTGTATCAGGAAATTATCCAGGTCTGCTAATGGCCTGTGCATTTGGTAATGAAAACATTTTAACAAATGCTGCCAAATATACATTATAATAGAAACGCAATTGCATTGGACAAACGCTAATCCATTTAAGATTTCAAGTACAAATAATCTGCACTGACATTCAGTAAAAAGGACATCCCGCATTATTACATTATGATGTTGGGAATGCTTTTTAAGATTAGGAATCATATTGGAATCACAAAAATAATATCGGTGTTTGAGGCAAACTTTGGAACAGTTGGGATTTATTACAGTAATTCAATGTTCAAACCTAAAACTCTATCAAATAAAAAAATAAAAAAAATTTAACTCCTGGAGTATCTGAACCTTTAGTTTATCATAAAAAGAAACGCATGGTCGAGTTTCAACCATCGTTATAAAGAAATGGGTGAATAAATAAGTATAAATTTAATCAGGATAATTTATGCATAGCATTGAGGAATGGGTCAAAAAACGTCAACTCTTCCTATGGACCACGTATCAACATGGTGCTGGTGTTGAAGTCTGTATAAGGGATATGAGTAAACAGTAATGTTTGTTTCCCTGTAGGTGCCTGAGTGTGACTCAAAGTTTGGGGAAATAATGTCCCTATTTGTCCATGTCATCTCTGTGCTGTTTTCCCAGCTGTGCCCCAGCCTCCTGGTTGGATTATTTGTGGATTTCACAAGGGTCCACAAGACCTCTACATCTATTTGCCCTAAAATTGTCCTTTTGTTTTGTCTTTGTTTTTAAGATGCGCACACCTTCCCTATATTGTACCCAGGGGCCTCTGTCAGTCATGGTTTGTGCATCGTACCATCACTGTACATGACCTGATTTCTCTTCTAGGGGTGTGTGAGCGTCTCTGAGCTTTTACTGGAGCTAGTCTCATGTTTCATCATATTATGAAAAAGAAATAGAAACATGGAGGGTGCAGCAAACCTTTGCCAGACATAATCCCACTGGGAAGGAGAAAAAGCAGGCAGAGCACCTCATGTTTTTTTAGCGATGGTATTATGTATTTCACATGGAAAGTCCTGCTCTGTCTGAATACCTACATCTCCTCACATCAATTCTTACATCATGGCATCAAAAACTCTAATCCAACACTAATCATTGGCAGAATCAAGGGAGGAGCACTCAGATTCTTACAAATAGCACTGAGTCATTACCATCAACCATTTAGGAGAAACCTAGATATCTCACAGGAACCCAGAAGTTGAAGCCAGTAAGGGACCTGCATCCCTATAGGCTGGTTCTAATATAAGTTTTTAGTGCCGCCCTCTTGACATAAACAAACAAGTCATAGATGGTAAAAAATTTAAAATGCACATTTTATGTTATTAAGGTGTTGCTGATTCATGTAGTTCTGACTTTGGTATCTAATACATTTAGCTAAAATTAGTTATTTCTCTCTGAAAGGAAAGTGCATGTGACAGCATGATTGTGTGTGATGGAATAGGTAGGCGTCGGTTCCAAAAATACAACATGGCAGCTCCCAAAAACAGCATGTGGTGGCTTTAATTTTCAAGTTTAGATTTCTCTCCTACAGCTGATGGTCATACTACAGACCAGGACCGTACACAGTGTGTGTTGTTCTGCTTCAATACATGCTACAACTCCAAACAATAAGCATAAACACATGAACATATGAGAGTTTCTGTTTCAATTTTGTGCTTTTGCCTTATGTTTCCAAAGCAAATTGAGACATGGGAAAACAGCATCCAAACATCACCTCTTTTTTTTCATTCAACCTTTATTTTTACAGGTTAATCCCATTGAGCCTCGGGGACTCATTTACAAGAGAGACCTGAAAGAGTGGCGGCAACAGTGGACAACAACGACAACAATAGACAATCATAAAGGATGCATACAAAAAAAAAGTTTGTAGTAAATGAAAATAAAATGGTAATGAAAAGGAAAAGTGGCGAAAAACAGCTAGATTGTAGATTACCTGATTTAATTATCACACTATACATACATACATGGCCACAGATTTATTGTTCATGCAGCTTTCTGTGCCACAATATCAAAAGCTATAGCACTGAGCAAACACTAACACACCGTCTCATGCCACACTATCCAAACACCATGAGTTTGTGGTGTACTCAGGTTGCCATGATGTGTAACCTTTATTATTTTGTGCTGCATAAATACAAGGCTTACAATGTTGTGCGGTTGATGCTGTGCATGCATTGT